TCACATCTGAGTTAAAGTCTTATAACGATGACCTCATTTAATCTTTGAGAGAATATCTATTAGCCTAAAGTTGCTTTACTAACGTTACACGCCACAACTAGGAAGGAAATAGTGTCTCGAGGGGCAGGATTTCCTGAAAGTAGCCAATCACAGGCAGTTTATTTTCTCATACCTGTGATATATAGTAGTTTTACACATATAAGAAATTTGTTTTGCTATGGTGCTGCTCATAGACAAACAAATATACAGCTGATGTAAAGAACTTAGAGGCATAAAGAAAGGTAACGTACAGAAATGCTATAAGAGAGAAGAATAGTGGGACTTATTCAAGAGAATCACGGTAAATACTGAAAACAGCCGTATGAAATAACATTAAATAGTAGGCTTTGTCGTATATTTTTACATTTTTTTCTTTTTTTATTTAATTTATTTTTTTTTTTCTTTTTAGATGGGAAGAAGTTTTTTTTGTGGCAGCAGGTTTTGTCCCTTATGGAATTGTACCTGCTGGCCTCTTGGTCCTGGAGGTGTACAGTTCCTAAAGAGAAGGAAGATCGCAGCAAAAAATAAAGTCCAAATCCAAATATAAATCATTTATCATGACCTCAAATTCATCGCTCACAGTTGATCTTTATCCAGGGTGGTTGAGCTTGTTTTGCTAAACAAGAATAAAATATTTCCATCTTTAGATGTGAAACTTCATCAACAACTAAAGCATGTTTTTTTCCAGAGTATTGAATCATGGAAACTTAATAAAAAGTGCTAATTTTTATTCTGATGTGTATTTAATTCTGTATTCTTCTTTGGAAAGCAGATTTGAATTTCCCTTCATTTTAAAAAAGGCACTATTTTGTGTTGGTGCATCATTTATGATGATAGCAAAACAAAAAGAAAAAACAACAGCTTGATGTAGCATGAAGACGTGTAAAAGTTCCTGGAAGTTTGACTACTTATGCAAGGCACTGTGTTGGTGAAGCTACGATGATAAATCAGGTGTGTTGTTAAATAAATGACTCGTCAAAGCAGGTGTTGTTGTTCTGAATCCTTCCATCGGTGGGAATACTTGGATTGGCGCGGTATTTTCCAGCTCTCCTCTGTCCTGAAGCTAAGCCCCTGGCCTCTTGACCCAACCCACACCTTCCTCCCCTCTCTCACGCCCCCTTTTTCCACGCTGAACCACTGCTGCTTGAAAACATGCCCTATCGCTGGACCCTACATCCCCCCATCCCCCCCTGCCTGGACAGTCCACTGACTCTACATGAGCAGGAAGGAAAAATCCAAAGGAACCCCTGTGTATGTTAAGATAAACATTCCAATCAATGAGCAAATCAATCAATTGATCCATCGTTTGATTCTTTCAATCAAATAAAAGATCAAATATTTGATTTTAATTATTTATTTTTTTTTTACGTTATTTTATTTTGTTGAGTAGAGTTCAAAGTAAGAAAAGCAGCCATGTTTGATTAAAACCTCGTCTCTGTTCTGCCATTCTGTTGATCCCCTTTTTGCCAGGACTCTCGTCGCCTGGTTCTCATAAGAAGCTGGGGAAATTCGATTTCAGCGCCCTGTCCTCCCAGACGAGGTCCCCCCGCATGGCGTTCACCCACCACCCACTGCCAATGCTGGCGGGAGTGAGACCAGGTGAGACCAACCCAACCAACCGACAATCCCAGCTCCCGCTGATCGCCCACCCCCCCACCTACCCTCCAACCCCTTCCTCTTCACCATCTCCTCCTACCCACCCCACACTTCTTCCAGGACCCCCTCCACACCCACCCCTCCCCTCCTGTGGTTAAGAGGTGGGGCTGTTGTCTCTGGGAGATGAGAGCGCTTTAAAGCTCTGTAGGTCTGTGCCTCCTTCTGTCTGTCCTCCAGGCCTGAGGTGTGCCGGTCGCGTTGGTGAGGGAGCTTCTTGGTCTCTGGGTGTGGTTTGTTCAGACTATTTTAGTGGCTGGTTGGTGGTGGGAAATCTGTGCTGTGCAGGGTCCTGGTATATTTCCGATTCTATGGAGTGAACTCTGTTTCGTTATTGTCAAA